GGCCCCTTAAAGGCAGGGGCGGGAGCCAGGGGGGCCCAGCGGGGCGGTGCTGGGGCAGGAGGGTCAGACTCGAACGTGCAAGGCCGAGACGCGAGTGGCACCGCGCGGGGCCCTGCCCCTCCCTCGGGCTTCGTGCCGCTTCCCTTGAAACCGGCGCGGCCTGAGCAATGGGGCTCTAAGGGTTGCAGAAAAAACCTGCACAGGTGCGTTAGGGGAAGTGAATCTGCTTACCCAGTTTAGCACATCACTTTATTACAGTTTTGCGTTTTGCTAACTTAGACTGGGCGTGTACACGGGTCAAACATTTCAAAGAGTTGTTTAGAAAAAGGACAAAATTGAATGAAAAATAAAACACTTTAAAATTCTTGAATTCTGAAGAAAAATGTATTAGCCTGCCAGGCTGAAGTATAACAGCATGTATTTCAGCCTTAAAAGAAAGGTGTTGAAGGCATTGGAGTCAAGAATATGACACACTTCAATGCATTTAAAACCATTTAATTCTAGGATGCCAAACTCCAGCCTTTGCCAGCGCTGGACCTTCACTGTGCCTGTACACATGGCTAAAGAAGTGATCACTGTTCCTTCAGAAGTTTTCGCCACAGTCTCCATTTTACTGGTAGATTCTTTGTGGCTCACGCAGAACGACACCACCCTCCTCCATGGCTTTCTGGAATTCCTGAATCTTGTTTAAAAGACAGAGAAACACAAGTAAGTACAAAGAAAAGCCACTGACAGCAACATATATGCCAGGACACATTACTGGAGGGGCAGAGGCCAACAGCCTCGCTGAATGCCAGGAGCTGCACCTTGTCAAAGTTACCCTTTTGAGTGCTGCAAGAAGGAATTGTCAACCCACGTCAGAAAACTATAATGGTGAGGAAGACTAAAATTTATGCTTAACAAGGAAAAAAACCCAACAAAACCCAAGTGAGCATCAGGAGATGGATACTTGCCGAGTCACAACGATATTCCCAGGGGATAACAGCTTTAAAGTTCACAAAGTTGATTCCTGCTTCCAAGCAGCGCTGTGCCATGACACGGCCCAGGTTTTTGCAGGCTGTGACCCCCTTGGGGCTGTAGAGGTGCTTCTTGATGGCCCACTCCCGGGTGGAGGCCGACACCACCACGTCCCCGTCGCAGCGCTCCACGAAGGCCTCCACATAGTGTTGCGTCCGTTCCAGCCGCAGCCTGAGCCAAGGACACAACCTGGGTTAGGATGTCTTGCCAGGTGTGAAGAGCTCACTTCAAATAAAAATGAATGCACTGAAGCTACTCATACCATAATGATCTCTTATCTAGGTTTTCGCTTACTTTACTAGGACATGGAATAGGTCTCACTTTACCAATTAAACAGAGTGTAATTCCAAGAGCACCTTTCCACCTGTTACACAGGTCACAGTCCTACCCTGCCTCACACCAGCGCACACACTCCAGCCAAGCACTGTACAGCTGCAGTGTGGTGCAGCTGTGCTTAGGAGGCAGGTCCAGGGAACTGCTCCAGCAAAAATGTAACCTTAGGTTTGCCATGCATAGTCAAGCAGCTCTTCATAGCCCTTCATATCACAGAGTATTAGGAGCAACTGTTTCTTACTGTACTGAGACAATATCAGAATTCCTGGTGTGAACAAACTGAGCATGGTTCTCTCCCCATGAACAAAATAATGATTTAGAGTCCCCATCTTAAAACTAATGCAATCTGCATTTTCTAAAAACAACCCCCCCAAAAAAAACAACGAAAAAGCTTCCCACAAAACCAACAACCAAAGCCAAAACAAAACACCCCAGACTACTACCGTGCCTCAAGTAAAACAACAATGCATGGACAGCACAGGCCTAGAGGAATCCTAAATTCAACAGCAGTTGCTTAAGCAGTATTACTGCTGCCTTAACAATAGGGAGATAGATCTTCAACACACAATGCTGACTTCCATGTGATGCTAGCCTACTGTTCTCTGACTGCAGAAGACACCTGTTAAGAAATATTAAGAGGGCGACTTGAATCAACAACCCAAAAGCACATTTTGTTGAAATTCCACCTGGTGGGTTTTTTTAAATTTGGAGTCTTCATTTCTGCTGGTGACTTCCTGTCTCACCTATGCCAGAATTCACGCTTTGGCCATGTTGTCTTCCAGCCACGCTCCTTCCTAGCCAGGCCCAACTGCTCCAAGTTCCGAGGATTCCTGTTAGTGAAGTCGGGGGCAACAACCTCATTCTCATTTGTGTCCACTTCAGTCTCAGTTTTGAGACTAGTTGTAGTTGATGCAAAAGAAAGACCTTGAGGAAAAGCAGGAAATAAAACGACAGACAGTAAAAAAAATATCGTGCAGATAATAGAGCAAGAGCAATACAGAATGATGCAGCTTGTAAAAGTTAGTGGGGCAAAATCTTTTTGTTGTTGTTGTTAAAACACGACATAGATGGCTTACCAGGGCTAAATCTGTTTCTCCAATTAATGAAGTGGACTGTAAGCTGAAAATGCAAAGTGTATTAAGTGCTAACTGTGGTTCAAGACCCATTCAGGCATGACTAGAAGATCCTGAGGATAACGGCTTCATAAAACAGTGAAACTGAACTACACAAGACAGTGACCACGCTACCAAACAACAAGTAAAAAATCCCCGATTCTGTCAGACAAATCGTCACTGATTATACCAGCAAACACGGTTTGGGCGCCAGGCTCTCAGGCTCACTCTGCTACACAACGTTTCACTCCGGGCAGGCAGGTACAACCTCTCACCAGGGCGAGGGTCCGGGCCTCTCCCTGTCCAGCGCCTGCCCCG